ACTCAACAGTTTCTCTTGGTGGTAATTAATATTAGTGCTTTTACTAATATAGAAAATTAAGATTTCGAACACTGAAAACTCATCTAGTCAAGTGGAAAAACTGTTTATTTGTCACTGAGTATTAGTTTAGCTTGCACTGGTGCCTGATGGAAACACTGGTCATTTTGACAGAGGCATAATCTTATAAGGTTAATGTTATATCTTTGACTCTCTGAAGAATGGTAGATTGGTTAATGAAGTTCATCAAATGTTTCGAAAAACTGACATCATATAAGGGCAATTACCTATTAGTCAAGAACGTATATAATGCTACCTTAGGCTAAATTCTCTTTGTCATAGTAGTCAATGAATACCAGTCCGAGAGTTCTAAAAAGTTCTATACAAAGGACAAAATAAAGTTGCTGAATTTCATAGTTCTGCAGAAAGAATTCAAATCACCTATGAAAATGACAAGCCCTGCCTGACCAGAACTAAGAATGACAAGATTAGCTGTGTTTAGTAGTGTTTATATGGAGCATTTAAGAGCAAGGAAACCATAGGCCAAATAAGACAATCTTCACATACAGCACTGATCCCCAGGGCCATGTCTGTGTGAATGGCTGGAGATCAACTTTAAGTCAATGTATGCCTATTTTGGTCTAAAAAGAGACAATCAGTGTGACAAGGTGCCCAAGCTAATCTTAACAGGTTGTTTTATCTAGGGCATCATGAACTGTTAGTGTGGCTATGCGGCATTCAGAGCAATACTCTACATCTGTCGAGCTGCAGAAACGTAGACAGTAGGACCTGGAGTCCTTGTACAGCTGAATGGAGAGAGAGATGCTGTCTGAGAAATTTCTTTTTTCAGATTTTAGTAGTATGTCAATGCATCTCATGCTGACAAACCAGATTTTTTTTCTCAAAATATAATTCTAGTATAATCTTGTGGAGAAATTGAAAATATTCTGCTTACTGTGAAGTAAGTGAAAATTCAGGGAAGCTGTTGATGACAGGCAGCTAAAGGAACTCTGCAGCCAGTTTCTTAGTTAAAAGTCCAACCGAAATATTCTCCTGCGAAATCTCAAACCATTTTTCTGTATTACATAGAGAACTTTGGGTACTAAGAGCAGCAAAAAATTCTGCCACATGTCAAATGAAGAAAACACCTCTGACTGTAGGAGAGTCAGGGCAGGACACCCTAATAAAGGCCAATAGTGGCACACTGCCAGCAGCACCCGTGAAAACTCTAACATTCCCGTTCTGGACCTGGTAAGCAAAGCAGAGACGATTTTCAAAACCTTTGTTTCAACATAGAAATATTCTTCTAACGTTATATCTGCTTTACGTATGCAGTATTCTGTTACTTACTGGTGATTATAATAGGAAATCTTTTAATTAAGAACTTCATTAGTTCACCTTTAACTGCCAATCACCAGATAATTGGCCCTTTGCTAAGAAGCACTGCAGCTCAGGTATGCTAAAATGACTGTTTCTCAGAATAACTTACTGAAAGTAAGTTATTTTTGGAACTCATTTATAAGAGAACTTAATTAACTATTCCAGATCATTAGGGATACTGCATTGCTTTTTTTCAATCCTCTGACAGGTTCCTCCAGTTATACTAATTCATTATCATTATTTTCAACTTTCTAGGCAGAAAAGGGTGAAAAAGAAACACTGAGCCATTGCAGGCCTTCTGCACAAACTAGCCAGTACTACCACAAGATGAAAGGCAGCTTTGGTGGATTTTATTGTTTGAGCTGCTTGAGGCAGTACAGCAGAATGTCTTGGGGCAAGCAGTTTGAGAGATGGTGCACTGTCTTTTGTCCACTGTCATATGGCAGAACTTTTTAAGAGCAGTGACACTACACAAGAGCTATTCCATTAGGAAAATGAAAGCAAACAAATTTTCTCATAGAATATATTCCATATAATTTGAAAACAGCATCCTTTTGGGTAAAATGCAGATTTGTTTTCAAACCCCACTTTATTAATTCAGTTCTGATATATTTCTCAAATTCTGGGACCCAAATGTCCCTTTTTTATTTGTGAAAATAACTACTGATGTCTTCATCAAGTAGCAGCAAAAATTCCAGTTGCACTAGTAAATTAAGCAGACCTTGGTTCTACAGTATTGTATTTAACTTCTACTTCAAACAAGTCTGTGGAAAAGTGCTTTTTCTGGAAGCTGTAGAACTGAATGCAATAGAACCATTCCCCCAATGCCCAGCTACATTGTATCAAAAATAGATTAATAATAACAGACTTTTTGGAAAATGCAGGACTTGAGAATTACTCTTTGCAGATCTTATAATAATGCTTAGAAAAGATCTTTACAAGTAATTGAGTGTTTGTTCTAAAGTTGTCTGATTACAGCTACAGATTATATGACCTCTCCATTTTATAAAGCAGTAGATTAATTTATGCACATGATTTTTACTTTCCACGTATCATTGCTAAGTATCGCAAATAAGCATATTCTAAGGGTTCACAACTAGTGGCCAAGTTATTCTTTTTTGTGATAATAAATAAGTAAATATGCATCATTCAAACCCAGAAAATATAGAGGTGATGTATAAAAAAAATTACTGTCCTCTCTTTATTTTCTGGGCAATAAATCAAGTAACTTTGTTCTGCCTTTTTTTTACAGTTCCTCAGAGGTCTGGTTATTTTCTACTAGTTCATGTACTACACAGTACTGTTTCATTCATTTTAGTAACCTGCTAAAAATCTCTCTTTTAGTTCAGAACAGGTCTCCATTACTTTTATGAGCTAAAAAGAGAAGTCCCAAGTCTTAAAAAAATTACTGTGGTTTCATCGGAATTTCACATCTAAGACACCCTATTTTAGATCACCTAGGATGCTTTGAAGAGCAGAGAAAGCTTTCAAAGATTTACACATTATGTCATCATCAATAAACTAGTAGGAAAGTCAAATACCCTGTAAGCAATTGCAAGGCAAGTAAAACATTCAGTTTCATAATGCCAGCCTGTGGTGGTCGAAGCACGAACTGAAGATTTATTTTTTTCAAATGTAAGTTTTTTGCAATTATTCCAGTGCAGAAAAATCTATTTTGTGTTTACTACTTCTTCACAACTACTTAGCAAATAAGTTTTATATCAATTGTCATTTGTTAACTTTTCAAAAGTGTATTTAGGAAGGCATCATCACCTTCATATCTGCCCATAATTATTCATTCCTATTTTATAGTGATTTACTGTATAAATCATGTGCTAACTAAAATCATCTTTAAAAAAAAGTGGCTTTTCAAGCTGTTTCATGAGCTGTACATAGAAAAACAAACTTATATACTTGTTTCACTATGCATTTATTTTGGAACTGTTATGTATCACTGTAACAAAGTGAGTTTTTTTAGAATGCTTTCTTCCATCTTATCTCTTCCTGGGAACTTCATACTCAGCAGCCTATGTGCAAGGAACTAATGTAAAGCCTGAGTAGTACAGATTGTTATATAGCATTGTATAGTATCACATTACAGGGGACTGGTAAGTTAGCACTCACAGTGCATAAAGCATTTATCCCAGCCTGGAGGGACAAAGCTTTTTGTGGTATCTGCAGTGTTTGCCCCAGAACGAAAGCCCCGAAAGTAGCGGGCCTTTAGACTGCTGCTTGAAGCCCTGCCACAATACCAACAGCAATGCCATTATCTGCTGATACAGTACCCCTGAAGTTTGTCTAGCAATAGTTTCTCCGAGAGAACTAACCCACGTGTTTCTCCTGTGACGCGAGGAAATCAACTTGTGTGTCAGGTGTCAAAAAGTCACTGGGTAAACTTGTGACTTAGCTTGCAAACCTACAGGGGTGTCTGTCATGTGCTTCGTGGTGGGATTGGTCAGAAAATTGGCCCAAAACAGGGATCAGATGAGGAGATACGATTTTCGGTCAGCAGCAGCTGAAGCCGAGTATGCAGATGGACATCTTGTGCTCGCCTGCGAGCGGAGAGCAGCGAGGCAGCCTGGTCAGCTTTGCTGTTCCAACCTCCCCGCTGCCGCAATCACTGGCGACTTGTAAAGCCGCGCAGCACCTCCTGCCCACCCTGCTGGCCTCCCTGCCCCGGCCGCGGTAGAGTTGCAACTATGCCCTACAGTCGCCGCGCCGGGCACCCCAAGGGGAGGGGTGGCCTCCCTCGGCCCTGCTCCCCAGGCAGCAGTCACTTGGAGCAGGTCCGTGGTTCTTCGCTGAAGGACAGAAGGCAATAGGCAGCCACAGGGAAGCGGCAGGCGGCCCATGCCCTCAAACGGGCGGCCCGGGCCTGCCAGCGCGGCCGCCCTGCCCTCCATAGGCGCCCAGCGCTCTGCCTCCGCGTCCGCGCCCTCCTCCCGCCCGCCCCCGGGCCGCGCCGGGGCCGCCGGTCTGTGCAGGCAGTCTGCCGGCCTGCCCCGGGAGGAGGGCCCGGCGAGGGGAGGCGGCCAAGCGGTAGCGGTAGCAACGGAGGAGCCGGCAGCGTGCGCAGCCCAGCGTGGCTCTGCGACCGGGCTCCTTCCCCGCTGCTCTCGCCGGCTGTCGCCCACCTCCCTGACAGTGTTACCGCCCCCGGCCTGCGAGCAACATGAGAGTAGTGGCTTTGATCAGGTAACGCGCTGACGGAGCGCCTATGTGAGCGAGCGAGGGGCGTCTCGCAGGCGGAGAGAGGGCGCGGGGAGAAGCCCTGCCCGCCCGGGGGTCGCGCTCCACCCAGCGCCACCCGGGAGACCCGCCCGGCCCTTTCCGCTCGGCCTTCCCGCCCATGCGTTTCCTGGTGCCTCCCTTCCCCTGGCCGGGCGACTCGTTCCCAGGCGGCTTTCGGCTCTGCCTATGGCTCCTGGAGTGGCCGCCTGTGAGTGCCGCGGCGAGCCGGTCCCTGCCTGCGCGTAGGGAGAGACTGAGAAGATTCCTGTGTTATGGCAGTATTCAGGAACAACCGGTGTATTTTTAAAATTAAACAAGCAGAACCCAAACAAATAAACAACCCCCACAACCAACCAACACACCCCCGCCCCCCGAGCCGAAACAAGACCTACATTTATTTGCCCCAGTCGCTTGCTCTCCGGTATCCCGGTCTCCCGGGCTCCTCGTCTGCAGCGAGGCGAGAGCCGGAGCCGCCCGGGCCGCCGGCAGCCCCTTCGCCGGGGGCGCAGAGCGTGGGCCGCATGTCCTGCTCTAAAAAAGGGTTCTGTTCATTTACAGTTCAGTGTCCAGGTGCTTTTGCTTTCCAAGTATCTTAAGCTCTTTCAGAATAGATTTTTGTAGTGTGGTTTTTTATTTTTTTTTTTTTTTGCGAGAGATTAAATTTTGCCAGTTTTAAAATTATGAAGCTAGCTCGTTCCAGTCATTGGAGTTGAACACAGCCGTGTCTGTCAGGGGTTGCTGTGTTTGCCATCTCCCCCACCCCTGTCCTCTGTTTTTTGTAAGTTTCTTTTTGTAAGTTTTCTTTTTGTTAGTTTCTGCAGTTCTTGTAATTTTTTTTTGATATGTGTTTTTCTTGAAGAAACAGTAGTTAATTAAAAAAGAATAAGCTAGGAAGCCTCTAAGTGTGAAATAATTATGCAGATGTGAGCTGTGTATTTTTATTTTTGGGTGCAGTAGCTACTTACTTAAGCCAAAACATTTAATGTATTAAATTCTTCAGGGAATGTCTAATATCAAACCTTGTTGAAACTGAGGTTTGGCCACAACAACTGCAAATCATTCCAAACCCCATGCAAAGGAGAAAATACAGGAAATGTCTGTTTTTCTAGATTTGCTCAAATATGGTGTAGGGAAAATTAGCTTCAATTTTTAAAAATTTTATTTTATAGGTAAGACTTTGTCTTTCTGGATTATTTACTTGGATATGCTCAACGCAGAGGAATGTGTTAAAAGGCAGGATGGAACAAAATCCTATAAACAGATTTCTAACACAATTGCTATTTTAATGGTCTATTTTACAAGGATGGATTTAGTTTCAGTAATAGTTTTAAGAAGAGTTTTAAAGAGACATCAAAGTGTCTGAAGTCTTTGTAACAGAGCTAGCCAAAGATCAGAGGGAAAAAAAGTATTTGAAAAGTGCTTCTTACTTTTGCAAAGGTCAGGATTATGTATGAAACTACTTTAACCTGTTGGTTTTTTTTTTTTCTTTTAGAATGTTGGCCACACTAAAAGTTGATAGTCTTGTTTTAAGGTGGTATTTATGGGGTAAACCCTGCATTTTGTTTTGTGCTAAATCATAAATGTTTTAAAGCCTGTCTTCAACCTGAAATATGATGTTTTTCAACTCTTGAAAATTCTTCTTGAATTTTCTTAACTGTAAGTGGTTATACTTGTCTATAGAAAGGAATTTTGCTTAGAAGTCTTTCATATCTTCACAGTTACCCAGGTTTTTTTTTTTCTGGTATTTTGTTTATAAGCCTGCTTGTTAACATGCTTGCAGAACCCTGACTGGCCTCACTTTGGAGCCTTCTACAAAAAGGCCTTGTTATTTTTTTCTGTGCTAGGAATTGAGAAGGGTCCCCAGGCTATCTCAGTACTTGTCTTCATCTCTCTTCTGTCGACTTTTTTGAGTCCATCTTCCTCCCATGGGCATGGGCTTTCTGGTTTCATTGGTCTTAACCATATTGTGTTTTACATTTAGTTTGGAAGGTCTTGTGGGTGGGCACCATGTAGTTTGTTTCTTGGTACTGGTAGTTTTTAGGGCTATGGTAAATAATACAGAGAATAAATAACAGGACACTAGCATGTGATTCAGTAAGCACAGATTTTCACCTACTAACTGGTGGTCCAATGTAAGCAATATGTATATCAATATGCATCTTAAAATGTCTTTTTGTGTGTATATATATATATACACATAAATTAATTGAAAGGATGAATAGATTTATTCCAGTGACATTTTAATTTTTTAATTTCTATTAAAAAAAAAATTACGTAAATAACATAGGCAATTATCTATTGTCATACAATTGTTTTTATGAAGTGCTGTTTGTAGCTGAAATCAGAACTAGTGGGAAACTTTTATTTTTTAGCATAAAGTCATTCAGAAAGAAAGGGTCTTTGCCTCATTACTCTGTTAAGCCTGGAAGATCAAACTATAAAATTAATACTATCTACATTTTCAAGCTGTCAAGAACAGTGTCCAAAAGTAATGAATGTATGATTTTAAAATTTTTTATGTGTGCATGTAGGTTAGAAGAAAGTTCCAGTATGCATTATAAGAATGTTAAGTAGAGATGGACCTTCCAAGTAGGATTCTATCATATTAATATTTACTTTTTAGCACTGAAACAGAAGCAACTGCTTTATGAAAATTTGTTAAGTACAAAAGGATGCCATGTTTTGCACTATTTCTACTTCAAGTTTGAATTACACAACAAATTCAAGACAGCATACAGAATTTTTGCATGGTTAAAAGCAGAGATTGAGGGGAATAGCTAAAGGGTTACATTCTTCTAGGGCACTTTCAAGCTTTTGTGTAGAGGGCTAGATAAAGGGGAGAGCTTAAAGCTGGAAATTCTGAAGAAGTTTGTTTCAAAATCACAAAATCATTTTGTTTGGAAAAGAGCTCCAAGATTATAAAGTCCAACACTTGACCGATCACCACTTGTTCATTAGGCCATAGCACCAAGTGCCATGTCCAGTCGTTTCTTGAACATCTCCAGGGGTGGCAACTGCACCACCTCCCTGGGCAGCCCATTCAAATGCTTGACAACCCTTCCCATGAAGAAATTCTTCCTGATGTCCAACTTGAACCTCCCCTGGTGCAGCTTGAGGCCATTTCCTCTTGTTCTTCACTTGTTTTCTGGTTGAAGAGGCCAAGCTTGCTCCAGCTCCTTTTCAGGTAGAAATAGTAATAGTGTGACTACAAGGAACACAGTGGTCTATTGTAGCAGTGACTGCTTGTGCTATGTGTTCTCCTGTGCATGTCTCAGTGATTCTAAAAGAAAATTCAGTTTTTCAGAGCTTGTATAGATCTCAGTTGCAGTTCCTGCCATGGTTTTTGTGCCTTAGCATGTGAAGAAGCTGCATAGAATATCCACCTGTAGTTGTACTTTGAGGGCCACAAGTCTGAACATGGATCTTTTAAGCAGTGTGTATTCTAGAGCACTTTTTTTGTAGATTGTAATGTTTCTTTTTCTACTGATTAAAATCCATAGAGATACTTTTTCAGTTACATCGAGAGAACAGAATTCTTTTGTCACTGATAGCGGAAAAGGTTCCTGTAGATCTTGAATGAATGTCAAAATTAATTGTATCCTCTGTTTTGGAGTATTATCTCTTGGCCTCAAACAAGAGTATGGTTGTAGTTGCTTTTATAGCATTAATCATTTTGATCTATAGTGAAATGCAGTAAAAAATTCATATGTTCTATGCAGTGTCAACTGAAACTACTGCCTGTAGTAAAGTTTTAAAGTAGTAAAGTTTTTGAGAATGGCAAGTATGTTCAAAATGTTGAAGGTTTAGGTAACATATCCCATGATGGAGAAATGTTATTTCTGACATAGGATCCATGGAGTTGGAGAAGATCTCAAAGGTATTGAGTCCAGCCATTAACCTAACACTGCCAAGTTCACCACTAAAATGTGTCCCTGGGCATCACCTCTACATGACAGACCTAATTTTAAAGGATTACTGATGCTGGCAACTAACTAGTAATGAGTACAGAGTAATTCGTCTCTGGAATAAGAGAGTCTTTGAAGAGATTCCAGTGTCAGTAACTCTTCTTCATGTAACCTCTCTTTATGTCAGATTAATAGTAAGATATAAAACTTTTTATGTGCTTTATGGTTACTGTATTTAGGCACTATACATATATAGTAAATGTATGGTGAAATAATTATTTTTCTACTGTTACTATTCTACAGCTCTTTGTATTTCAAAATTTATAAACATTTCTGATAATACTTATTTTTGAACAGTCAGTTAAAAGTTATAAGGGGCTAAAACATTTATTTATACTTTTAATTGCCACTATTTTCTTTTCCTTACAGTGGTGGGAAGGACAGTTGTTACAATATGATGCAATGTGTTGCTGCCGGGCATCAGATTGTTGCTCTAGCCAATTTAAGACCTGCTGAAAATACAGGTATGAAAGCCACATTTCTTACAGGAAATTTTTTAAAAATAGGTTAAAAACAATGGCCTCACAACCATGCCTGAATTAAGTTCCTATATATGTTTTTGTCTGGTTTTGCATATTAAAGGCAAACATACAAACTTGAAAGAAGTATGAAAAAGAAAATGCTATGGAGAGGTATTAAGTATATTTTCCCTTAAAGGGAAAAAAAAAGCCCACGAGAAGAGAAGATCAATTAAAAAAAGTCTTACACAATTTGAAAATGAGAATATTGATATCCTGGTAGTAAACAAAGGGGTCGTGTGAAGTCAGTAGCACAAATGCTAAAAGCTGATAGATGATGTCATCAACCAAAACTAGCACTGTACTTCTAGAAATTCTCTAAACTGGTGCTAAACTGAATGCTGTAAACCATTCCAGCTGACAAAAATGTGCCATTGTGCTGCTGCTCCTCCATTTTTATCTTTGTTTGTCTTTCTCCATTATTCTAACCCAGCATCTGTGAATTGCATTGAGGAACTGATGTGGCTTGGAATTGACCTTGATGCACATATTTTTCCTGCTTCTTTCCTTCTTTTTAGGCTGGAATGATTTTTTGATCAGTTCCTCATGGGCTCCACTTTATTTCTATGAAAAAGAATGGGAAAAACTCAGGTAGTCAGTGTGAGGTGAGAGAGTGAACTAAGTATTTGTATATTGGACTAAAGCACAAATTGAAGTGAGACTGGAAAAGCAAGTGAGTTGTTTCCAGTTGGTAGGGGAGAATGCTAAAGTGTGTTAACTAGGTTCACTGTTCAACATATGTTAAGCAATTAAGTATGGTATTTGGTAACTCTAATAGTAGGACGGTACACAGAAAGGGAAGGAAAAAGGGGGTTGCCATCACAAATGAGTCATGGGCAGAACTGGAAAATGCTAGCAGAGTATAGGAAAAATTTATTTTCAGGGTAGCTAGGACATAATAATCTCTAATCTTGTTGAAATATGTTGTCTTCCAACAAATTTATCCTCATCAGAAATGTAGAATATTATCATTAAAATCATAACATGCTCTCTTTAAGTGTGTAGTTGGAAATTTTATAGAAAGTTAATTGAGGTG